CCTCAAACAGAGTCTGGCACATAGTAGCTGCTCAGTAAATATTTGCTGAGTGAATGGTCTAGTAGCCAAGATGGGATTGGAACTCACAGTCCAGGGTCCTGGGCCAGTGAGTGGGCTTTCCTGCATTTGCTGTCCCAGGGCCCAGGGAGTTCTGGGAGTTTGAAATAGTGCCAAATGGTGGGGCGGGAGGAGTTGCTGAGGGGGGTTTGGTCTTAATTGCCAGAAGGCAGCTGGCCATTTGTTTTTGGTCAGATAAGCTGCTAAAGTAGTGTGTGTGTGTGTGTGTGTGTGTGTGTGTGTGTGTGTGCATGCTCACGTGGGCCTAGGGTGTGGGGGGTGCAGAGCTCCAGAGTGGCCTGGGCGGCCCAGTTGCATCCCGCCTGTTTCCCTGCCCTCCCCTCCCCTGCCCCTCAGATAACACCTCCAGCTGTTAGGAACACAGCTGTGGCTGCCTCTTGAGAAGGAGAGAAAAAGGCCCTGTTGCCCTGGGTGAGTTCCCAAGCTGTGGAGTTCAAAGCAGACCTGTGAAGTGAGGGGGCTGGAGCAGAGGGCTTGGAGGGAGGAGGTGAGAAGTCAGGAAGGGCAGGGAAAGGCAGCACTTCCACTTTGATGTCCCCAGCCCAGAGCTCTGGCAGAGTCTTGGGCGAGGACCCAGCAGAGGGGTTCAGCTTTTCTCCCCTCATCCCAAACTCTTAGAGAGATCCAATTAACCATACCTTCCTGTCCGCCAAGCAGGATGTTTATCCAGATCCCTGATCCTACTAGACATAAGCAAGCACAGTCTTCTACATACCCTACGTACACTTGTTGGGTGAATGTTTTCACCCAGTGCACACTCATATCCCACTACACCCAAGTGAACACACTCTTCCACATGCACGAATGCATGCACCCAATGCACATTTATACCCTACTACACATGAGCAAGCACACTCTCCACATGCACGAATGCATGCACCCAATGCACATTTAGACCTCACTACACACAAGCAAGGACACTGTTCTACTCGCCCAATATACACTCATTGGGTGAATACTTGCACCCAACACATATTCATACCCTACTCTACACAAGCAAGCACACTTTTCTACATGCATGTGTGCACCCAATGCACACTCATACCCCATGCACACACAAGCGAGCACACTCTTCTACATGCATGAATGTGTGCAGCCAACGCACAGTCATATCCCTGTGCACACACAAGTCCAGTTTGCTCACAAACATGTTCAAGCTTCACACCCAAGTGGCTTCACAACATGCACAAAACTTGCACTCACACCATGCACACAGCCACACTCATCCACGGGCACAGGGCCAAGCCAGTCTTTGCTTCCTCAGCAGGAATAACCCTGCGGGAGGGGTGGGTGAGGGCTATTGAACCACTGACTCCAGAGGTCTCCCAGCAGTCTGGGCTCTCCTCAAAGGATGCTGTGTCAGGTCTGGGGTGCTTCTCTGCCAGGAGCCATTCATCTGAGTCTCACCACAGTACTCTGGAGAAATCACCCAGGAGAGTGAGGAGTCTGCCAGGAAACCTGCTCGGGCCTCTCCAGGGCAGGCTAGCTCCGGGCAGCCTGGCTAACAGACCTGCCTCAGCTGCCGGTTTGCCAGATGGCTCAGATCATTCTGGATCAGTTGAGGAAAAAGGTGCCCTTGTTAATGCCCTAGCGCAGCCCTAGGGGAAAGACCCAAGTCTTTGCCTTCCTTCTCCTGAGGGCATTTCTGTTGCTTTAATTCAACAGACATTTGCCAGGTGCCCAGGCGAGGGGGTACAGAAGTGAAACACAGGTATCTGTCCCACGTCTCTTCTATGTCTGGTACATGGGTAACTCCTGGGCCTTCAGTCGCATGAGGTCAGCCTTCAGCTACTGGTCTTATTTACTCACCTTTCATCTTCTGTCAGGGATGGCGCAATGTGTGACAGGGACAGATCAGATGGGGGGGGTGAGGAGTGAAGCTGGCGATTCTGCTCATTTTGGGCTGCATTGCTGGGGGGCACTCAGGCCATCTGGCTCCAGCTGGCTCTTGGCTGGAGGTCTGATCTTATCAACACTCCACCCATCCTGGCCCTCCCAGTGTGGCCTCCCAGCCCAGACCCCCCAATTCCCTCCTCTTCCAGTGAGTCTGGTTCCTCTGGTGAGATTAACTGTCCCTCTGGGGCAGAGAGCTGGAGGCCAGAGGATTACAGACATGGGTCCTGTCCTCTCCCACAGGGTCTCCAGGCTCCTATCTGGATCCAAGTGGGAACAACTGGTGGGAGGGAGATGGGCACCTGAATTTAGGGACACTCCAAGCTCACTTGCTCCTCTTCCTCTGTATTTCTAGCCACAAAGGGCATGGGTGCTTGCATCTTTCTGGGAGAACCACGGAAGAACTGGGCTCACTATGGGTCTCAAACCTGGTCTTTATCCCAGAGTGTCCTGAGCAGTAATGTTTATTCATGACAGAGCCATCTCCTGTGACCTGCCCTGGGCCAAACTGGTACCTGCACAACCTCTAGGTCCTTCTGGTAGGTAAAGGTAGCCTACGCTGGAGAAGTCTGGCATGGCTGAAGGTTAACCATTTCCATCTGATCATAACGAAAGCTGTTCTGCCACCTGCACAGAACTTCCATTAGACAGACGTGCAGGAGCAAGCAGGCCCCGGGCAGGTCCTACCCTGTATACTGTGGGGTCGATGAAGCCCAAATCTGGGTCCTACTAAGTGTTCTGACCACTGTTTCCCAGACAGCTAGGATTCCAGAGGCAGGGTCTTGTTGCTTCTCTAGCTGGCACCAGCAACCAGGAATTCTCTTTGGCAGTGGCCAGACCCAGGGCAGTTTCTGGATCAAGTCCATGGTGCTAACCCTAAGTTAGCTACCCTGCTACTGCCCGGCAGGGTTCTTACATCCTGTCTAATCAATAGTGAGGAGTGTCTCTAAATCATCAATCTACTGTTAATCTCACCAGAAGGAGTGCTCATTTTAAAGTAAATTACAGGTATCCTAACATTGCCCTACATTTCTATAATTCTTAACAGACGACAAACTCCCCAATTTAAAAAGAATTGGGGCTTTTTCTTTGGGGGCATAGTGGTTTAGTCCATGGGCTCAAGACAGCTTTGATTCAAATTCTGGCTCTGACCATGATTAGCTGGGTGATCTTGGCCAGGTTACTTCACCTCCCCATGCTTTGGTTTCCTGATCTGCACCTACCTCCTCACACTGTTTGATGATTAAAAGAGAACATAAATATACACAGAATGTACAAAATGTTTAGAAGGAAGCCTGGTACGTAGTGAGTGGTGATATGTAACCCTCATGGGAAACACAGACATGCTCCACGTTGCCTTTAAGGAAAGGTCACCAAAGGCTCTTAGGTTCTTTCTAATCTCTCTCCCCAGCCTTCTCCCCTGCATCTCCCCGCTTTCTCCAGCTTGCATTTTCGTTCCTTCCTTCTGGCCCATGCCCTCTCTTCTCCCACATTCTGTTCTTGGCAAGCTCCTGTTCAAAGAGCACCCACTGGGGGCCCGAGGACGTGTTTTACTTGTCCCATTCTATGGTTTTTCTTTTTTTTTTCTTTTTTGGCTTGAAAATGAAGTTAATTCCCCAAATTTATAAATCTGAAATTTTTAAAAATAGAAATCTAGAATTTAAAATTATCTTGGAGAAACCCCACAGCACGGTAATGCTGGGCCCCCATTTCTGCAGGGCAGGCAGAGACTGGAGCTGAGCACGTGGCCTTTGGATGAATGTGCTCACCGCGGTTGGCACAGCCTCTGCCTCCCCTGGTCCCACGCTGGCTGTTTCACTCATGTACACCCTTGGCCTGGCTTTCACAGGTGTTTGGGTTTGGGGCCCCTGCTTTAAGATCCCTGCAGAAGATTTTCTGAGCAACTCTCCCTCCAGACAGTGGATTCCAGCGTGGGAGCCCTTTGCCTGGATGTGGCAGGGATATGTCTCCTGCCTTTGCTCCAGCTCACTCTTGCCCAACTTAGGTGGCCTCCTCACCATTGGGGGTGGTGGAAAGGGTGCACATTTCTTTTGTTTGTTTGTTTTGCCTTGTGCATCCTTCTCTTCTTCCTGCCTAGAGGTCCTGGAGAAGTGAGCAGATGGAACAAAGGGATTGTGCCCATGGCAGCCTCCTCCTCCATCTCAACTTCCTGGCCCCTGTGGCCTCACAGAGACCTCCCGGTCCATGGAGGGCAGTGAGGACCTGGGGACTGCAGTGTGTCTGCGTTCTCGCCACGTCGTAATTCATACTCTCATTCCTCTATCTATGGACTTTTCTTCTCACCCATTCCCTAATTCATCCTTGCACTTACTCACTCAACAGCCGTTTAGGGATCACCTAGGACATGCCAGGCACTGTGCTTCTCCAGGCACATGCTTGGAGAAGAAAAAAAGCAAACAAGCAGCCATAACCAAATTCACCCTATGACCGTGGGCAAGGCATTTACCTTGTTGGGCTTCAGTTTCCCCGGAGATTTAATGACTTGATTAGAGCTCATTTTGTCCTGGGTTTCTTTTATTCCGTGTCTGTCTTCAGCCTTTTAAAACTTGCTATGCCACCTGCAAACTGCAATCTGCCAACAGCGTATGAATTCTAGAGAAATCGCCCTCTACTTGTGTCAGAGGGAGTGTCGCAGCCAAGGGGGAGAGGAAGATAAAGGGAGAGGGAGAGTGGGAAGAGTGTCCCAGTGTGCAGCCTGGTCTGGGTGGGGGCTGGGGGTGCAGGGGTGGAGGGGCCGGGAGGGCCTGCCAGATGCTCAGACCACCCTGTGAAATCTCACACCCTTCTTGCTCCCTACCAGCCCTGGCTCCAGCTCAGGCTGGATGTCAATCTGCATAATGTGTCCCGTTTAGATGGGATGGGAGGGGGTGAGAGCAGCAGGCTGGGGAGGGCTGGGGAGGGGTTAGTCTCAAAGGCCAGGCATGAGGTGGTGGCCAGAGGAAGCCAAGGGACAGAGGCTGGGGTGAAGGTGGGCAGCAGCCAGGGGCAGGAGGCAGGGCAGAGGAGAGCAGGCTTGCAAACCCCAGATAACGTTCTGCCCAGCACGGCAGGGGTCAATTTGGTCCACTTGCCCAGTGACAAGAAAAAAAAAGTGGGCTGTGACTTAAAGATCTTAAGACTCACCAGAGAGGGGCTGGTCTGGAGGTGGGAGGAGGAGGAGGAGGGAGTGACTAGCCAAGGAGGAGACAGGGACTCAGGAGGGTGCAAGGAAGTGTCTTAGCTGAGACTGGGGCAAGGCAGGAGCAGAGTGTGCAGGAGAGAGGCATCCTCGGGGATCTGGAGAGCCCAGAGGCAGCCCCTCCTGCCTGCTGGGAAGGGCTCTGGGCACCGTCAGACCTTCTCACCCTCGGAGGCTCAAGCCAGAAGCTCAAGGTGCTTGCGGACTTGGTGACAGAGCCACGGAGCTGGTACCCCCGGGGCCCGCTGCCCGTCTTCACTCCCCAGCATGGAGGAAGGTGGCGATTTCGACAACTACTACGGGGCGGACAACCAGTCTGAGTGTGAGTACACGGACTGGAAGTCCTCGGGGGCCCTCATCCCCGCCATCTACATCTTGGTCTTCCTCCTGGGCACCACGGGCAACGGTCTGGTGCTCTGGACTGTGTTTCGGAGCAGCCGGGAGAAGAGGCGCTCGGCTGACATCTTCATCGCCAGCCTGGCGGTGGCCGACCTGACCTTCGTTGTGACCTTGCCCCTGTGGGCCACCTACACCTACCGGGACTACGACTGGCCCTTCGGGACCTTCTCGTGCAAGCTCAGCAGCTATCTCATCTTCGTCAACATGTACGCCAGCGTCTTCTGCCTCACGGGCCTCAGCTTCGACCGCTACCTGGCCATCGTGAGGCCCGTGGCCAACGCGCGGCTGAGGCTGCGGGTCAGTGGGGCCGTGGCCACCGCGGTGCTGTGGGTGCTGGCCGCCCTCCTGGCCATGCCCGTCATGGTGTTCCGCTCCACCGGGGACCTGGAGAACAGCACCAAGGTGCAGTGCTACATGGACTACTCCATGGTGGCGACCTCCAGCTCAGAGTGGGCCTGGGAGGTGGGCCTGGGGGTCTCGTCCACCGCCGTGGGCTTTGTGGTGCCCTTCACCATCATGCTGACCTGCTACTTCTTCATCGCCCAGACCATCGCCGGCCACTTCCGCAAGGAGCGCATCGAGGGCCTGCGGAAGCGGCGCCGGCTGCTCAGCATCATCGTGGTGCTGGTGGTGACCTTCGCCCTGTGCTGGATGCCCTACCACCTGGTGAAGACGCTCTACATGCTGGGCAGCCTGCTGCACTGGCCCTGCGACTTCGACCTCTTCCTCATGAACGTCTTCCCCTACTGCACCTGCATCAGCTACGTCAACAGCTGCCTCAACCCCTTCCTCTACGCCTTCTTCGACCCCCGCTTCCGCCAGGCCTGCACCTCCGTGCTCTGCTGGGGCCAGACCCGGTGTGGGGGCTCCCCCCACAGCAGCAGTGGGGAGAAGTCGGCCAGCTACTCTTCGGGGCACAGCCAGGGGCCCGGCCCCAACATGGGAAAGGGCGGGGAGCAGGAGCACGAGAAATCCATCCCCTACAGCCAGGAGACCCTGGTGGTCGACTAGGGCTGGCATTGGGGAGAAGCCTGGCGCCCCGGGCCCCCAGCCTCGGCCCTTGCTCTGGAGATCAGGTAGTGTGGCTGCACCTTCCGCCCTGCATGGCACCCCTTCCCCGCCCCCGCCCAGCCCCGACCTCCTCTTCGCCCTTTATTCTGTCTCTGAGGATTGTGGTTTAGTGGAAAGAGACTCAGCCTTGCAGAACTGAGCTTGCATAAGTCTCTTAACCTCGCCGAGCCTCAGTTTCTCCATTGGTATAAAATGGGGGAAAGTCATATTGACCCTAAAATGTTGAGGTGGGTGAGTCCTGACTCAATAAAAGTTCGTTCCCCTCTACCCTTTCTTAGATCTCCAGTCCTCTTTTCTCTCTCCTTCCCTTTTAGTTTTCCCTCTCTCCCTGCCACTGTCGCTCCTGATCCAACCTTCTGGCTCGGGCGCCCTCTCACTGCATCCCCTCGGCTGCCCCTCTCGTGGCTCCCCCTCCCTGTCTGCCCCCTATTCTGAGGGGCCCCTGAGGGTTAAGGATCCTGACGCTTGCAGAGACTAACCCTGTTCTTCATCCTGTTTTCTGAGCGGGAGGCGGGGAAGGGCTGGAGTGGGCGTGGGCTGGCCTCAGCTGAGAATTAGCACTCCAGTCCCCGGCCCGGCGCTCCAGAACTTTCCCTAAAATTGGATCGGTTCCTTGTGATTTCAACCACTGGGGCTGGCATGATCCCCGAAGAGAGCCCCCCTTCCTGCAGCCCCTCTGTGATGCCAACTAGATGTGCTGCCTCCAAATTTCCTCATCCTCAGATCGGTTCGTTCTTCCGCTACTTGCTGTGGGAGTCGGAAGGCCACGGGGCTGATGAACTGTCGGGCTCCTGGGTTTCATTATGTGAATGGGGAGCTGGGGAGGGGCGTGAGAGGAAAAGGGGACACGAAGGTGTCTGCACTTGGTCTGGAGGCGACTTGGCTCCCCTGCCCACACCGTCCCTCGGAGCCCCTGCAGAGCTGCGTAGGAAGGTCTTTCCTGCCCCCCGTCTCACCCCACCATCCCTGCTGATTTTCTCAGGCACTGGTGAGGCTCAGTGCCAGGACTCGCTGTGGTCGGGGTGGGATGCTTGCTTCTTGTCTGTGCGCACGTGAGTGTGCCTAGGTGGACGAGCAGGGGGCCAGGTCTCGAGGATGAACCCCTTCCTCTCCTGTCTGCACCTCGTCTGCTCTGCGCACATTACCCTTGCGGGGAGACGGGACGCTCTGAAGCAACACAGAATCCACCCCCACTGGTATTGGGGGGCTCCGACGGCTGGTCCGTGCCTTAAGAGAGAAGTCTATGTCTGTGTCGGGCTCCCCGCAGGGAGATCGCTCCCCGAAACAGCTGGCACCCATGCTTGGGGCCGCCTTACTGAGCTGGGTCCCTGTTCCTTCTCTAGCCCCAGGAGGGAAGAGGCTGGCTAAGTACCACCCCCTCCCAGGCCCGTTTCCCGTGCCTCCCCACTTTGCTGGGAGTTTGTGGGCATTTCCTCATCACCCTCTGTTGTTCCGGGGTCAATGGCCCTCTTCCTATGGAGACCGCTTGCTTGCCATGGGGTGGCAGGCACGGGGCGGGTTTTTTCTCTCCTCACCCTCAGGATTGGACCTTTTGGCTTCTGCTGGGGGGGGGTGCTGAGAACAGAGCCTGGATTGGCCGTGGAGGGGCTGACAGCATGATGTCCACACCGCCAGAGAGACCTCAAGGATGACATCCATGGGGGGCCTTTGTGGGCTGGGGCGGGGGTGTGTATTCCGGGTTTTGTTCTTGGAGGACTCTGGAGATGAAGGACGAGACGTGAGTGATGGAGTCAGGAAGAGCCCAGCTTGATGTAAATAGACATCTTTGTCCTCCTGGGACGGAGCCAGCTCTGCGGCAGAGGGACGAGCAGAGGGGAGAGGGCTGCTCTCAGCCCAGTCTCCGTGTCAGGCCAGCATCCTCCACAGTCACTTCCTCCACTCAGGGCTGCCCGCCAAGCCTCCAGTCAAGGCTGGAGGAGGCTTCTAGAAGGGGAGAGGGTCTCTGCGTGGCCTGCAGACTTCCTGCCTGGAACTCATCGGTGGTCCAGGACAGGAGGCAGAGGACACTGCCAGCTGTGACCTTCCTCACCTCCCCAAGCCCCTTCTGCGGGATGCCTGTGCTATTTCCCAGCCCTGTTAGTCACTGCGGTTCATCCAATAAAACTGTTGTGTGTAACGGTCGTGTCCAAAGCCTCTTCTTGCAAAAGTGTCTTGGGATAAGGAAAGATTCCTCAGTTTGCAAGCGTTTCCCTAGGTGGTGGGGTGAGCAGGGTGAGGGTGAGCCGTGGGAGGGGGGTGTGGGAGCTGGGAGGAGGGTGTGGAGGGGAAACTGCACACCAAGGGGGGTGGCCAGAAGGTGCCGAAAATAGGCACCAAGGAGAGGAAAGGGAGGGATGGGAGTTAGGTGCAGAGAGGAAAAGGAAATAAAGGAACAGCGGTGGCTACACGTTGTGCTCTGAAAAGCCACAGAACACACGGGCACAGGTTTTGGAGTCCAGAGCACAGGTCTGGGGAAAAACACCACCACGTCTTCCCCTGGAGGTAGACCTGTCATCCACTCACTTCATTCATTTATCCCTTTATTTATTTACCATCCCTCATCGACTCATTCATTCATTCATTTATTCAGTTAGTATCGCTGAGAATCCACCACTTTGGACCAGAAGGTTTAATCCCTGTTTTCCAATCACAGCCCCTCTGGATGGTTTAGAAATTCCCACTCCTGGGTGTCTCCCAGACCTATGGGATCAGAATTTCCTGGATCACCCCAGATGTTCACAATTACTAAAATTTCCTCTGATGATTTCTGGGGAAGGCCAGGCTTAGAGAATCTCCATCCAGATGGATTCTGCTCAAGTTAAAGTGGGCACAGAAGACGAGAGGGAGGGTCAGAGCCAGAGACAGCTGGGCTCTGGGTGCTCCTCTGTTATGGGGAAGAAAGGGCCGGCAAGAGCCTCAGGGGCGACATTTAGTCCAGAGGTTCTCAGCATCTCCAGTGAAGATCCCTGGGTATCGATACTGTTTGCAGACGACACAAGGGCAACCAGCACAGCAGAACGAGAGAGCTCACGTCTGTGACATTCTACCACTGTGCAAAGCATTTCCCAAACATTGTCCCATTTCATCCTTGCAGTCGTCCTCTGAGATGGGTGTTGTCACCTCATTTTTCTGATAAGGATGCTGAGGCCCAGAGAAATTAGTCAGGCCCTTGACCAAGGTCACAGAACCAGCAGGTGGAGGAGCTGGTCTTGGAACCAGACAAATCTGTCCCACTCCAAAGCCCAAAGCCCACCCTCTTGACCATGGTGTTGTGACATTTACCCCAGAGCACAAGTGAGGCAGTGCCGGGTGGCTGGGAAGGAAGGTGAGATCTCATCTTCGAGGTGCTGGCACACATGGGCAGTGCTGCACGAGGGGGGACAGGGTAGGAGAGGGATTGGAGAGGATGGTGGAAAATACATGAGAGAGAGAGAGAGGGTGGGGAGGAGACAGACAGGGACAGAGAGAGGGAAGAGAGGGAGACAGAGGCAGAGATAGTGACAGAGAGAGATAGAGACAGAGACTGAGAGATGGTAGAGAAAGAAACAGAGAGAGACAGAGAAACAGAGACTGGGAAAGGGAGAGACAGCAAAAAAGAGAGACAGTAATGAAGAGAGAGAGTAGAGAAACAGAGACAGATTGTGAAAGAGACAGAGACAGAGAGACGGGGGGAGACCTAGAGACAGAGGGACAGCGAGAGTGAGGACATAGGTGGGAAGAAGGAACGGGGGCTGGGAGGGAGACTGAGGACAGGGAATCTGCTCCGGTTTTCCCTCTTTTGCAGCATACCAGGGAAAGCCTTTCAGGAATTTACAACTGTAACAACAAGCGATTGGGGCTATTACTGTTATTTTTAAATTATTTTTACAGCTGCTTTTTAAAAAAACTCACCGCTTCTCCTGGGAAGTTTGAGGTAAGTTATCCAAATATTATAAGATTATAGAGCACTTAATAACTGCCTTGCCCACACATTTCTTCAACTATTCACTCATTTGTCTGTTCCACAGACCTTATTTACTGCTTATGTGCCAAGCACCATGCTCGACGTGGGACCAAGTGCTGAGCAAGACACAGTCACTTGAGCGATCCCAGCCGAGGGTGGCGAGTTCCGATAGGGGACGTGTGGGGTGTCCTGAGGACCTATAGTGCAGACAGTGGCATGAGTCTGGGCGGGCGTCAGGGAGGCCCTAGAGCCTGCCTGGCGCCTGCGCTCTGAAGTGAGGCGTGTGAGTGTGAGTGGGGAAGATAATGTTCTGGGCAGAGGAGGTGCCCAGAGAGCACAGCCTCTCTGAGGAACTGGGAGGGGCACTGATCCTTGTTTTTATCTATCCTCACTCTGGGAGGCGGGCCGGCCAGGGGGACAGAGGAGAACTTGCCCAGGTCTCACTACGACGACGCTGAGAACATTCGGGGCTGGGCCCGAAATCGGGGTCTCTAGACAGTTGAGTGGGCAGGGCTTTTGTTCTTGGTGACTTCCAGTTTCTCCTCTCCCTGAGCTGGAGCTGTCTTCCCCCACGTTGTCTGCCAGGGTTTCCTAACTAGGGGCTGGGAGTCCTGGCTTGCAGAATGGTGCTAATGAGGGGCAGATGGATCCTTTGGGAAGACCGCCCCCCACAAGCTCCCAGAAGCCAGGATGACACCCAGTGTGACCGACAGGCTGTAGATGTGGTGCACCCCCGTCTCAGCAGGTACCACTCTGCCTGTACTCCAGAGAGTTGAAAGCTGGCAGGACCTGGTCCAGCAGGTGCAGCTCTTCTCAACCATTGCCCAGATGCTTCTAAAGTCACCACAAGCAATACTGGAGACAGACACAGAGATGTCACTCAGGGAGCTTACAATCAAGTGCACAAGAGAGGAGACTCTGGGACATTGGGCTGACTCTAGAAGTTTCAATTTATAGTTAGAGTATTAGAGCTATGTCATTTTATTTATTCATTCAACGAGCTTTTATTCAGTGTCTCCCGTGTGCCTGGGACTGTCTTAGCAGCTGGGGATACTGCTGTGAACCAGACACCAACCCTGCCTTCAAGGAGCGACTTGAAGAGCCTTCTAGTCTTACTTTCTCATTGATTGGATGGGTAAACTGAGGCCCATGGGGGCCGGGGAATGAGTTACACATGGCCACACAGTGGATGGCAGCAGAGGTGGGGCTAGAACTCAGGCTTCTTGCTGCCAGGCAAGAGCGTATCCACGACCCCAGGCTGAGAAAGGAGAGAAGGTCTCTCACTGAAGATCCGCAGAGCCAGTGGGGAGAGATCAGAGATGACCTCTTACCTGCAGGGGAGGGGCACAGAGGTGCTGACGCCATCCCAATCTTTGTTAATCAATCTTTTATTTCTGAAGAATTTTAGATTTACAGAAAGATTGCTGTTCTAGTACAGAGTCTCCTCATATTTTCCACAGCCAGTTTCCTTCCCTGTGAGCACCTTCCATGGTTAGCAAGACACCCTTGTCACAATGGATGAACCTCACTTATGCCCTACACCACTGAAGTCTGGCCCAGTATTTTGTTCCGTGTACTTTTTAAATAAATATCTTTTTTGTTTCCAAATACCAGGCACATGCTAGGTGAGTAGAGAGCAATGCATAACACGCAGGTAATTCCTACTCTTTTGGAGTTTAGCGACCGATAATGAAGTGCAATAAGCTTCACTGCAGGGACAGTACAGGGCGCCGAGGAGGCAAAGACCCATCTCCCAGTCTGCACCCCAGGGGGAGCCCAAGACAGCGCTGACGCACTGGCTGAAAGCACGGATTCACCCTCGACTCCACCAGGGCTTGGGTGTTTGCCGTCTCCCGCCTCCAAAGCCAACCTAGGGCGCATTTTCTTGCCTGAATAACTGGAAACCCAGGGACACGAGACAAAGGAACATTTGTGCTCAATGGGCATCTCACCCAATATTGTTCTGTGCTTCAATATCTGTGTGGCCCATCTCTCGTCTG